TGTGGGTTCCCAACACTCACGGTAAGTAGCAGTGAGCTGGGGCCAGCACCCAGTTGTTTTTGATGAGGACACCCACACAGGGGTTGAAGTGCGACTTGAGGTATACCAAGTAGGGAGCATGGTCGTCTTTCTGCACAGATGCATGAGTAGAGAAAACTGTCCCTGAGAAAATAATTAGTATTCTTAACATATAAAACATTCTTAATATAGAAGACATATCTTAGGACAAATAAGACAGTTAACAGTTTCCTAGTTGAAAGGAACATGGATAGTTTTTTTTCTTTCTTTCTTTCTTTCTTTCTTTCTTTCTTTCTTTCTTTCTTTCTTTCTTTCTTTCTTTCTTTCTTTCTTTCTTATTATTTTAATGTCTATTTCATTTTTGAGAGAGAGAAAGCCAGAGTATGAGCAGGGAGGGGGAGAGAGGGAGACAGAATCTGAAGCAGGCTTCAGGCTCTGAGCTGTTAGCCCAGAGCCCAAGATGGGGTTCGAACTCATGAACCGTGAGATCATGACCTGAGCCAAAGTCAGATGCTTAGCTGACTGAGCCAACCAGGTGCCCCTAGAATATGGATAATTTTAAAGAAATAATTGATTGGCCAGGAAATATGAAAATGTTTGACCCTCTTTTTCTAATAAAATGTAAATTAAAATGATATACCATTTTATCTGATACTTATAATATTAATTTTTGGTTTAATGTTGATAATATTGAATCTAAGAAAGTACAATGAAGAGACTCTTTTACTACATGTAGCAACGTGAATTGATTCTGTCTTTTTGAAAAGCAATTTAGAAATAGGCATCAAAAGTGTAAATAGTTCATCACTTGTGACCTAATAGTTCCAACCCTAAGAATCTGTCCTAAAATAATCAGATATAGACAAAGATTATGAATGTGTGCTCATTTTAACACTATTTATAATAGGTAAACACTGGAAATATAAGTGTCCAATATAGTAATGTAGGGCATTTGAAATAAAAAAGTACATCAATATATGGAAATATTAAAATTGTATTTATAAAGAATATTAAACAGCAAAGAAAATATTAATAACCTTTCTTTAAGTTAAAAATGATAATGAAATGTATATTAATCTAGTAATCCAGTTGTCTAAAAACAAGCAAAGAAACAAAAAGATAAACCATTTGAATGACAAATAAATAAATGAAGCCTGAGAGTAAGTTGAAGTGTTAGCATGTGTTGACTGTGAGGTGAGGTTATGAAGTGTTTATTTTTTTCCTACTTTTTAATATTTCTAAGTTTTTAATATTAACATGTAATATTTAAAAAATGACTTATTAAAGAAAAACACTTAAGAAAGGGAGGAAGGCTGCTTGTAGTATCAGAAATAAAATACTGTTCTTACCTCGGCTGCCCTTGGTTCTTCCATTTATCCTTCCCAAGTCTTGGCCTCCACCTCCCCATACCCTTTTATGATCACATAGTTAGAAATCCCAAGGGAAAAAGGACAGGAGGCATTGAGGCATTGAGCTCTTGTTCTAAGTGCTTTACATGGATTTATTTAACACTTTCACAAATCTCTATGATGTAGTTAGTAATATCCCCATTTTGATTGAAGAAACTAAAGCATGGGTAGATTGACTTGTCTGTGCTCACACGGCTAATAGTGATGCAACGTAGATGGTCTGGAGGTGGTGGGAGATGCCTCACCAGCAAATTCTGCCATCAGAAGGACTCGTGGAAGTCAGGGAGTACAGGGGGTAGGGCCCTTGCATTTGATCTTTTGTTTCTACCTTCTTCATTCCCTGCTTTCTGAGTCTCTAAGCTTCTGGAACAGGGGGGATATCAGACTTCGGAATGTGTTCTTTGTCCCTGTGACCACACTGGGACTTGCCCAGTGGGTGATGAAGCCCACATTTTGGAATCACCAGTGGGGAATGCTCACTGTCGAGCACTCTCCAAGGCAAGTGAGCACCATCACCCGTCCCATAGCTTAGCACTGGAAGGGTGAGCTCAGCCTCATGGGAGCCTATGGGTGTGGTCTGGGACAGGAGATACCTACTTCTGTCCATGACCGCTTTTTCTTAGACTCTTCTTTTGTACCCTCTACACACCCCAATCTACCTTCCTCCAGCCTGCATTAACCTGTGCCTTATAGGACAGAGTAGAAGCTCATGGATACATACCAGCAAGGACACCCAAATAAAATATAAATTTCATAGCAGTCCAGATCTTTCCCTGTGAGATGCAGAAGATCAGCAGAGTATGGAACTCTCAGGAACACCTGGTAGAATCAATGGCTGTGGTTAGGCGTGGGGACCCAAAATAGGGTGGGAAAGCAGATCTGGGCATAAATGGGGGGAGGGAAGAAGGCTCCAGGTAGACAGATGAAGGTCCTTCTGCTCCAGGGAGGCTGGGGGATGGGAGACTGTGCCTCTCTTGGGTCTTTCAAAGAAGGAAAAAGAAGCCTTGTTCCTTAGACTTCCAGATCCAGGCTCCTCTCCCTGCTATGCCTCAAAGCCCATCTGCCCAAGTCAGCTGTCTATGGGAAAGGGACTCTGGCTCAGGACTCATCTTCCTCAGGGAGTTTCTGAGGCCAGGGCTGTGGGGGACAAGATGCTCCACCTTAGCTCAGGTAGACAGTGTCCCCAGGTTTGCTCTGAACACCCTAATAGTTACTTATACTTTCCCTTAGCCCCTCCCATCTTTATTACACTGGCTTCACCTTTCCCTGTGACCACTGTTTCATCACTCAGTCATCATCACCACCAGGTCTGGTGGTCCTGATCACCAGCTTTGAGCCAAGGAAATGTGGAAATGAAAAGCACTCATGGAACAGTTATTTTGGCAGTTGGAGAATGGTGTACATTCTGGATTATATTGAATTTAGGATCTTCTGTGTTTTGGTGACAGTTCACAAGGCAGGACCTGTTGGTGCTTTTTACCTAATGAAAAGGTTTCTCTGGCAATGATAAATGGCTAGGGTCATCCTCGGCTAATTTGGAGACACTCTAACAAGCACAGTTTCACTATTAGCTAACATTCATTGAACACTTACCGAATCCGAGGCACTGAGCTACATTCTTTACTTCTGTATGGACATTGTCCATGGGGATTTTGTATCAGGTCGGTCTGAGATTTGTAAAATTACTATACTTTGTGCCACTCTAATCCTTCAGGGTTTCTTAAACCCATAATCTCATTTCAGTGGCACAACAACCTGCAAAGAGGAGACAGGGCTGGGGTGGTTTTTTTCTTGATCTGTAGGTGGCCGAACTGAAACAGAATTTAAGTCATTTTCTCAAAGTCACACATGATTGGAAAGATAGAAGTAGAATCCTGATCTCCTTATTGGGTACACACAGCTTTTCAACTATATCCTCCAGGCTTCGGCTAATCAACTAGCATTCCTAGACCTTGAAAGGTCCATTCCGTCACGCAAGTTCCCTGAGAATAGGGCTTCATTATGAAATATGCTTGAGGTTCAAAGACAGGATGGAGCTATGGAAGGCTTTCTGTTGGTGAGGGTAGGAGTAGTTAGCACAGGTGAAAAGTTGAGAAAGAGATATTCTTTACTCTGACGTTGTTTGTCCTAGATTTTTTGCAAAGTTTATGGACCAGGAAGGGAGTTTGGGTCCTTTCCAAAAACAACAGATTTTCTGGAGGAGGCTGTTACTGGGGACAGCTACCGGTCTACGAGTCTCAAATTAGTATCTCCAGCCCAGACCACCTGTCCCACAGATACAACTGCCTCCTGGAAACCTTTTTTTTTTTTTTTTTTTTTTTTTGCATCTGCTTTAGCTCGCTGAGATCTTGAGATTTAGCATGTCAAAATTTAACCCTTCATGCCTCCAGCCTTTTAAATGCATTCTTTGCCTGTTTTTCTTATTTTAGGAGATAACTCTGCCTTCCATTTGTTTGATTTCTCTCTCTTTCTGACCACTCGACCTCAAACCATCCTACTTCCAGATGTCTCTTAAATCCATCCCAATCTTTCCATCCTCACTGCTGTCATCCTGATCTAGGCCACAATCTTGTTGTGCTTGAACTCCTGTATATGCCCATCTAGTGTTGCTCAACTTGGTCTCCTCTTTTGTACTCAGAATTGTTTCTTCCCCCTGAAATGCAGATGAGATCATGCCAGTCTCCTTTTAAAAACTCTTCAGTAGTTCCCTGCTGCCAGTAGCGTAATCCCCCAGCATGCTTTAGGGGCCTCCCTTGACCCTCATCCCATTTTGTCCTCTTCAGTCCTCTCTGCTCAGCTTCTCTCTGCCTCCCCTCTCCTACCCACCTACCCCACACACTTTTCTCCAGGCCTACCAAACCACTTTCAATTGCAGGTTTTCTTGTTTCAATACTAATACCTTTTTAACATTAGCCTTTGAATGCTCTCTGCAGTTTGCTAATCCCATTTATTTTTTCCTGTTTTGTTTTAGGATACTGATATCTGATGTGGACATTGTTCTTTAAGCTTCTTTTTGAAAAAATGATTTTAGAATTCTATGGAGGGATGGATGGGTGTGTGTGAGATATTAAATATTTCCTCCTATGTTCGTAATTTTTTGTTATGAAGTTCCTTATTGGTATTATCACAGATTCTGTGTACACATGGGGACATATGTGTCCATAGCCTCATTCCACAAACCATCAGGTTTATAGAGACTCTAATTGTAGTGTTGCATTTTGCCATCTGACTGATTTTCTGTTTAGGTAATATTCTTATTATATTCTGCCACCAAAAATCAATTTGAAAAAGGCAGCTGCAGAGAAAGGAGAGAATGAGAGAGAGAGACAGCGAGTGAGAGAGAGAGAGAGAGAGAGAGAGAGAGAGAGCGAGCTGCAGCCAGGAGGGCAGTGTAATAACAGATTTAGAGATCTGACAAGAACCACTTGTGTTGGTATTGATTGGGAACTTTTATTCAAATCGTGTCTGTGGTTGTGAGACAAGACCTGCGCAAGTCAAGCAGTTCTGAGGAGGGGTGGTCTGGGCATCACCTGCATAGAGGGGAGGGGGTCAATGTCACACAGAAGGGTGGGACTCAGCTCTGCTTCATCAGAGTGGCCCGGAAAGGAAAGGGGTCAATGGGACATGTAGAAGGAGGGATGCTAGTCACACATTGTGGGGAAGGGACCAGTGGAAAGAACTGAGAGGCCAGGGGAGAAACTTGGGATGAATTTGAACTCCACAGAAGGTCTGCTTGACGCCTGCTTTAGAATTCTTTTCCCTAGATGAGGTGGATAAAGCTCAGATCCCTGCTCATCTTCCCATAGGGCCGGCCTCATCAGACTGAGGTTTCTGTGCCTACTGACAGAGGTGGGCGGCTGCGACTGATGAACCCTCTTTCACACTGAGGGTCCAGAGTGGAAGGAGATGCCCCTAGATGATAGACTTCTGTAGAATCTGTATCCTCGGATCTCCTGCCTGCACCTTCTGCACCTGCTGTTCAGAATCCCCAAGCAGGGCATAAGTTCTGTCCCTGTCTTGTGCCTGTTAGTTTCCATCCATATCCTCAGCGCAGGATTCAGACATCAGCATGAATCGTATCCTGTTAACCTTGCTGATGGTGACTGGTGAGTGACCGAAGGGATCTCTTTGTCACGGTTATTAGGATGCTGTTGTCTATTAGGACGCTGTCTGGGGGTGAGGCTATGGAGCTGTGTCGGGGAGGAGAGCTGGAGGGTCAAGGGCATGCAAGTTTGGGAGGGGGAGGATACATTACTCCTTTTCTGTACAGTCTCAGGCATTTGTAGGACCTAAGTAAAACTCTTTATTTTGGGATTCAAATCTTCTCTCAATGTATGATAAAGTTCTTGGGCTAAAGCATGGAGGCAATCCGGAAAGGAAGGTGGAGATAGGAGCCTGGAAGCGTGTATAGGAACTTATAAAACACGTAGGAAACAAAGCAGCAGGTATTCTGCTGTGGGGTTCAAAAGGAAAATGTCACTTTTGCCCTTTGTGGTTTAAATTTTTTTTTTTTTTTTTTTAATAGGCCTTTTGTGTTTTAAATTTAACACGCAATGATAATAATAATAATCATCATCATCATCACCATCACTGCCGCCACCATAAAAACATATACCTATATAGTGCTTATATAATAGACACTGCTCTTTACGTGTTAACTCATTAAATTCTTTTTTTTTTAAGTTTATTTATTTATTTTTGAGAGAGAAAGAGAGAGTGCTAGTGCACATGCTTGTGCAGGGGAGCACAGGAGGCAGGGAGGGGCCGAGAGAAAGGGAGAGAGAGAATCCCAGGAGCCCCACAGGGGGCTCAAACCCACGAACCCCTGATATCATGACCTGAGCCGAAATCAAGAGTTAGTCGCTGAGCCGAGTGAGCCACCCAGGTGCCTCTAACCCATTTAATTCTTTTTTTTTTTTTTTAATTTTTTTTCAACGTTTTTTTTATTTATTTATGGGACAGACAGAGACAGAGCATGAACGGGGGAGGGGCAGAGAGAGAGAGGGAGACACAGAATCAGAAACAGGCTCCAGGCTCCGAGCCATCAGCCCAGAGCCTGACGCGGGGCTCGAACTCACGGACCGTGAGATCGTGACCTGGCTGAAGTCGGACGCTTAACCGACTGCGCCACCCAGGCGCCCCAACCCATTTAATTCTTAAAACAACTTTGTGCCATAAGTATTATTGCTGTCATTTTTTTTTTTTTTTTTGATGAGGAAACCAAGGCACAGAGTAATTATAACATGCCCATAATGAAGTTGGTATGGCTCTGTAATTAGGCATTTGTGCTCTCTTACTTAGTTAGGGACAGATACCCTAACCTCTCTGAACCTCAGTTTCTGTATGTGCAACATGAGAAAAATATGTATCTTTTAACGACATGCCGTGATTCCTATATACCTATGTTAGACTGAGTGGAGTTAACCAAGTTAATTGGGTAGGGACTGGGTAGGTCATTTTAGATAGAGGAGCCAGTAAGTGTGAAGGTCATGAGGTGTGACATGTTTAACTAAAAGCCCATCTGTGTGGTTGGAGCACAGAGGAAGGAAGTAGATTAAGAATCATATAGTAGAGGGTCTTTTAGCCTTAATTTTAGAAATGATCCTGAGTATAATAGGAATCCTTTAAAGAGTTTTAAATATGAGAGTTATATTACCACATTTATGATTGTAAAATATTCATGTGACTTCAGTAGGAGAATGGATTTGACTAGAGATATGGGTTGTGGGTGGGAAAGATCTGGGGAGAAATTTAAGAGACTGTTGCAACTCTCAGGGCAACAGAGTAGACTAGGGTGGTGGCAGTGAGGATGTAAGAAAGTAAAAGGATTCCGGAGGTAACAAGGAGATAGAAGTTGTGATCAGTTGAATGTGAGGAATGAAGGGTAGGAAAAAGTAAAGGGTGTCATCCAGATTTCTGGTTGGGTGAATGGTGGTACAATTTACTGAAATAGGGAACACTGGAAAAGAAGGAGGCATTTGGGGAAGAAGACAAATTACATTTTTGACTTACTGAGTTCGAAGTGCTTTTGAGATATCAAATGGAGATGTCCACCTGAATCCAAGGGTCGGGAACTCACGACAGGAGTCTGAGCTGGGATACAGATTTGGGAATTTGGGAATTTTGAAAGGATTTGAATTCATAGGAATGAGTGAAAAATATTACTTGAAAAGAATTTACAGAAAAGAAATGTGTAAAAGACAGAACTATGAAGAATTCCAGTTGCCTTTCTTGGTTTAAAATTTTTATTTTGAAATAATTATGCATTTATAGGAAGTTGCAAGAAATGTACAGAGGAGTCCCACGTGTCCTTCCTGTAGTTTCCACCATGGTAACATCTTGTGTAACTATGGCACGATAGCAAATCATGGGAGTAACATTGGTATGATCCACAGAGTTTATTCACCTTTCCCCAGTTTTACCTGCGTGTGTGTGTGTGTGTGTGTGTGTGTGTGTGTGTGTGTATTTAAATCTGTACAGCTTCACATGTGTAGGTCTGTGCATCCACCACCATTTTCAGGACACAGAACAGTCCATCAGCAGAGCCTCCTTCCTATTGCCCTTCTACCCACACACCATTTCATTCTCCCTCCTCCACGCCGTCCCCCTTCCCTAACCCATGGCAACTACTAATGTGTTCTCCATTTCTGTAATTTTCTTGTTTCAAGAATATTATACAAATGGAATCATACAGTATGTTGTATTTTAGGATTGGCTCTTTTCATTTAGCATAATCCCGTAGAGATTTGTCCAAGATGTGTGTATATTCACTATTAATTCTTTTTATTACTATTATTCTGTGGAATGGATGTACTCTGGTTTGCTTAATCATTCATCCATTGAAGGACATCTAGGTTGTTTTCAGGTTTTAACTTTTAAGAATAAACCTGCTGCATTTTTGTGTGATAGTAAGTTTTTGTTTGTCTGGGATGTAAGTCCAAGAGTGCAGTTTCTGCCATATGGTAATTGTATGTTTAGTTTTATAGCATATTGTTTTTCAGGTTGGCTTCACCATTTTAGATTCTCACCAACAATATGTAAGTGACCTATTTTCTCTACCTCCATGCCAGCATTTGGTGTTGTCACCAAATTGCACTATTTTTCATACTAGCTGTTCTGTTAGATACATAGTAATACCTCATTGAAATTTTAATGTTTATTTTTCCTGTGACTGAGGATGTTGAATATCTCTTCATATGCCTGTTTACCTCATGGATATTTTCTTTAGTGAAGTGTTTTTTCTTGTCTTTTTCCTATTTTTTAATCAGACTGTTGAGTCTGAGAGTATGTATATAGATCAGATACAAGTCTTTTCTCAGCCAGGAGGTTTGCACATATATTTCCAAGTCTATAACTTGTCTTTAAACTGTCTTCAGAGGGTCTTTTATAAAGCAATTGTTTTTAATTTTGATGAGTATACCCAGGGAAGTTGGTGTTAGGCTGTTCCTTAAGTCCCCAGGTTCCTTAGGCAGTCCCCTTACTTCTTTCCATTATTCAGAGTCTTTCTATCTTTGTTTGTTGTGTTTGTTGTGCAGGGGCTTTCAGTTGAGGAACTGAAGAGCTGGGGGGGAATGGGGCTACTCCTTCTTGGATCAAATGGAAAGGTGAGCTCTAATGCTTTAGGGGCTGCTGGAAGAGGAGAGCCCAGTAAAGTACCTTATGAGGCAGGAGAAAATAAAAGTGTAATATACACCATCAGAGGAGCTGTTTCTAGGAGGAGGAGGAGGTAGTTAATGTGTTCTATGTCTGTGGCAAGTTAAGAAAGTTGAAGCTGCAGACGCAGTGGAGGCCGATGTTGCATGAATACGGAGTTAAGATTTGCCAGGTTGAAGTATGACTCAAGGACATTAGGACAAGGGAGTTCTGAAGAGTAATAAGAATATCATTAAAATGATGAATAAAGGAATCTGACTCAGGTAGAGAGGGAAGGTAAAATAGGCAAGGACCAATTGGAATGGAAGGAAAGGAGGCAATGTGTAAGTTTCTAGCACATTCTTAGAATCAGTGACTTTGTAAAGCTCAGTCAAGAGTGAGTTAGGACACCAGGGCTTTGGTGGAAAGAAATCTGAGAAGTTTTAGAGTAAATGAGCCATATTTGGTTGGGGGCTCAGCCAGGTATATTAGGAGAAAATGTGTTCCTCAGCTTTCCTTGGAAGTCCCTGTGGCTTGAAGGAGCTCTGTCTTGTTGCTGCAGGTAAGAAGGAGCTAGTGTAGTGCATACTTCTTAAAGGCCAACCAGAGAAGGTCTGGAGTCAGGGATAGATTGTGGGAATTAAATAAGACTTAGATTTATATCTTAGAGTGAAGGAACGTGAAGATTTTGTGTCAATGGTTCTCAACTTTTCTGAGCATGAGAACCCCTTTTAGTCTTAAAATTTATTTATTTATTTGTTTGTTTGTTTATTTATTTATTTATTTACTTACTTACTTATAGTGCAAGTGGGGGAGAGGAGCAGAAGGAAAGAGAGAGAAAGAGAGAAAGAATCCCAAGTAGGCAAGTAGGCTCCACTCTCAGCATGGAGCCTGACACAGGGCTTGATCCCACAACCCTGGGATCATGACCTGAGTTGAAATCAAGAGTCAGATGCTCAACTGATTGAGCCACCCAGGCACCCCTATTTTGAATCTTTTAATGATAATTATTGATTGAATACTTATGTAATGAGAAGGTAGATAATCTTTGTTAAAGCAATGTGTATCTTATTATCAGAATACTGTTTAAATGGATTTCCTGTCAGTTTTATTTTTGAAATAGGTCTTATGTCCATCCATCCACTTAGATGCTCTTCTCCAACTCCCCCACTGCTACTTTAGTGCAAGGCACATCACTTTTTGCCAGGTCACTTCAGTAAGCGCGACTGTTTCTACAATCCATTTCTAATAAAAATCCAGTGATTTTTTTTTAAATCCAGTGATTTTTAAAAAAATAATTGGATCACATGACTTCTGTACATTCAAATTCTTTAATAGATTTTTTTATTACACTTAGAATAAAATCCTCCTCTCAAGGCTCCTCTTAGGCCAATCTTTTCCTCTCCCACTAGGCTTCAATTTCTTTGGCTCTCTTCAGACTCCGGAGCATTTCCCAGTTCTTTCCCATCCTTGA